ATAAGAACTTTTTATTTTTCAAAATGAATAATTATCTCTTGATTTATCCTTCATTCACATTCAAATTTTTTTTACTAATTATTCTTTTTACTAATTATTACTATTTTTTGGTCTGAAGACTCCTTTATGTTTTTTTTATCCCTTTACATTTTTAAAATAACATTTCATTTTCCCCCAATTACACATTAAAACAACATTTTTTTTTAAGTTTGGAGTTCCAAATTCTCTTCCTCCCTCCCTCCTTCTTCTGTTCCCTGTCTGAGATGGAAAGCAATCTGAAATAGGTTATACATGTGCAATCATGTAAGCCATTTCCATATTTGTCATTGTGTATGAGAAGATTTGAAGAAGCGAGACAGAAAGACAGAGAGAAACAGAGACAGAGAGATTAAGAGAAAGAAAAGAAAAAAGGAAAAATAAGTAATAAAAGAGAAGAGAAAGTAAAAAATAATATGCTTCAGTCAGTATTCAGACAATATCAGTTCTTTCTCTGGAAGCAGGCAGCATTTTTCATAATGAGTCCTTTGGAATAGCCACGTCATTCACAGTTCTTTAACAATATTGCTATTAATGTATACAATGTTCTCCTAGTTTGCTCACTTAAATCTGTATCACTTCAGGTAAGTCTTTTCAGGCTGTTTTCTGAAATCATCCTGCTCATTATTTCTTATAGCACAATAATATCCCACCACAATCACATACCACAACTTATTTAGCCATTCCCCAGTTGACTGGCATCCCTTCAATTTCCAGTTGCTAGACATTACTAAGAGAGTTGTTATAAATATTTTTGTACAAATAGGTCCTTTTCCCTTTTTTTTGGATGTCTTTAAGATATATACCTAGTAGTGGTATTGCTGGATCAAAGGGTATGTACAGTTTTATAGCACTTTGGGTACAGTTTGAAATTGCTCTCCAGAATGGTTGGATCAGTTCACAGCTCCACCAACAGCACATTAATGTCCTAGTTTTCCCACATCTCTTCCAATATTTATCACTTTCCTTTTTTGTCATAATAGTTAATCTAGAAGGTATGAGGTGGTACCTCATACTTGTTTCAATCTGCACTTCTCTACTCAATAGTGATTTAGAGCATTTTTCCTATAACTATAGATAGCTTTTGATTTCTTTACCTGAAAACTGCCTGATCATATCCTTTGATCATTTATCAATTGGGAAATGACTTACATTCTTACAAATTTGCTGCAACTTTCTACGTATCTGAGAAATGTGGCCTTTACCAGAGATACTTGTTGCAAAATGTTTCCCCAGTTTTCTGCTTTCCTTCTACTTTTGGTTGTATGAGTTTTATTTGTGCAAAACCTTTTTAATGTCATATAATCAAAATTATCCATTTTACATTTTGTAATGCTACTTCTTGTTTACTCCCTTATCCATATAGGTAAACTATTCCATGCTCTCCTAATTTGCTTATGGTATCACCCTTTATGTGTAAATTATGTACCCATTTTGACCTGACCTTGGCATACAGTGTGAGATGTTGGTCTATATCTAGTTTCTGCCATAAACTGTTTTGTAGTTTTCCCAGCAGTTTTTGTTAAATAATAACTTTTTGGCCCAAAAGCTTGGATCTTTGGGTTTATCATATACTAGATTACCATGATGCTTTACTACAACGTATTGTATACCTAATCTATTCCATGGATCCACCACTCTATTTCTTAGCCAGTACCAGATTGTTCCCATGATTATTGCTTTAATAGTAGTTTGAGATTTGGCTAGGCCACCTTCCTTTTTTTCTTTCGATTCCCTTGATATTCTTGACCTTTTGTTCTTACAGATGAATTTTATCATTTCTTCTAGCTCTATAAAATAATTTTTGGTAGATTGATTGGTATGGTATGGCACTGACCAAATAGATTAATCTGAGTAGTCATTTTTATTATCATTTTTATTATATTGGCTTAGCCTACCCATGAGCAATTAATAATTTTTCCAACTGTTTAGATCTGACTTCATTTGAGTGAGTAGTGTTTTGTAATAGTGTTCATATAGTTCTTGGGTTTCTCTTGGCAGGTAGACTCCCAAGTATTTTATATTGTCTACAGCTATTTTAAATGTAATTTCTCTTTCTATCTTTTGCTGCTGGACTTTGTTGGCAATATATAGAAATACTGATGATTTATCTGGGTCTATTTTGTATCCTGCAACTTTGCTAAAGTTAATTATTTCAATTAGTTTTTTAGTTGATTCTCTAAGTATATCATCATCTGCAAAGAGTGACAGTTTTGTTTCCTCACTGCCCATTCTAATTCCTTCAATTTCTTTTTCTTCTTTTATTGCTATAACTTAGCATTTCCTGTACTGAATAATACTGATACTGAATAATAGCGGTGACAATGGTTATCCTTGCTACACCTAAGATTAGGAAGGCTTCTAGCTTATCCCCATTACAGATAATGCTTGCTGATGGTCTTAGATAAACAGTACTTATCATTTTAAGACAAGTTCCATTTATTCTTATGTCCTCTAGTGTTTTTATAAGAATGGGTGTTGTATTTTATCAAAGGCTCTTCCTGCATCTATTGAGGTAATTATATGATTTCTATTGGTTTTGTTACTGATATAATCAATTATGCCAATAGTTTTCCTAATATTGAAGCAGCCCGGTATTCCTGGTATAAATCCCACCTGGTCAAAGTGTATGATCCTTGTGAAATACTGCTGTGATCTCCTTGCTAAATAAATTTTAAATTTATTTAAAATTTTTGCATCAATATTCATTAGGGAAATTGGTCTATAATTTTTTCTTTCTCTTGGCTCTTGATGGTTTAGGTATCAGCACCATATTCGTGTTGTTAAAGAAATTTGGTAGAAATCCTTCCTCACATATTTTCCCAAATAGTTTATATAGTACTGGGATTAACTGTTTCTTAGATGTTTGGTGTATGCACTTGTGTATCCATATGGCCCTGGTTCCTCCCCTCCCCTTAGCATTAGTTCACTGATGGCTCGCTCAATTTCTTTTTCTAAGACTGGGTTAATATTCCATTTCCTCTTCTGATAATCTGGGCAATTTATATTTTTACAGATATTCATCCATTTCATTTAGATTGTCAAAATCCATTAGCATATAATTGGACAAAATACCTTCTCATTGTTTTAATTTCTTCTTTATTAGTGGTGAATTCACCCCTTTCATTTTTGATACCAGTAATGTTTTAAATTAACCAATTTAACCAATTTAAACAAATTAACCAATGATTTACCTATTTTATTGTTATATTGTTTTTCTTTGTTCACAAAACCAGATTCAAGTTTTATTATTTCAATGGTTTTTCTCCTTTCAATTTAATTAATCTCTCCTTTGATTTTCAGGACTTCCAATTTGGTGTTTAATTTGGGATTTTTAATTTGTTCTTTTTGTAGTTTGTTGTTTTTAGCTGTGTGCCCAATTCAGTGATCTGCTCTTCCTCCATGATGTAAGCAATGACAGATATAAATTTCCCCTAAGTACGTCTTTGGCAGCATCCCACAAATTTTGCTATGTTGTCTTGTTGCCATTCTGTTTAAGGAACTTACTGATTGTTTCTATCATTTGTTCTTTGACCCACTTACTCTTTAGGATTTAGTTTCCAATTAATTTATGTTCCCACTATCTGTTACTGAACGTAATTTTTATTGCATCATTATCTGAAAAGGATGCAGAAATATTTTTGCTTTCCTGTGAGGTTTTTATGCCCTCATAAACAGTCAATTTTTGTGTAGGTGCCATATGCTGCTTAGAAAAAGGTATATTCCTTTCTAGTCCACTCATTTTTTTCCAGAGATCTATCATATATAACTTTTCTAGAACTCTATTCACCCCATTAACTTCTTTTTTATTTATTTTTTGGTTATTTATCTAGTTTTGAGAGGGGAAATAAATAAAACTATAGTTTAATTGTCTATTTCCTCCTGTAACTCATTCACCTTCAAAAATTTAGATGCTATACCATTTGGTGCATATGTTTAGTATTGATATTACTTCATTGTCTGTGATACCTTTCTGTAAGATGATAGTTTCATTATCTTTTTAAATTAGATCTATTTTTGCTTTTGCTTTGTCCAAGATCATGACTACTACTCCTACTTTTTTTTTTTTAACTTCAGCTGAAGCATAATAGATTCTGCCTCTATCTGTGTCTCTGGGCCTCAAATGTATTTCTTGTAAACAGCATATTGTAGAATTCTGGTTTTTAATCCATTCTGCTATCCGCTTCTGTTTTATGGGTGAGTTCATCCCATTCACATTATCAGTTATGATAACTGTGTATTTCCTTTCATCCCATTTTCCCTTTGATTATCCTTTTCTTTCTCTTACCATTCATCCTGTCCTTTCCCACAAGTGTTTCACTCCTGATCACCACCTCTCCCAATTCACCCTCTCATCAGTCCCCACCTTTCTCTTATCCCTGTTTCTTTTTACTTCCCTATAAGGTTAGATAGATTTCTGTATCCAACTGAGTGTTATTCCCTCTCTGAGTCAATTCTGATGAGAATAAGGTTCAAGCTTTAGCTGCCACCTCAAGTTGTTTGCAGAGGAATTCAGGAGGGATCCAGGGAGTTCCTTCCTCATCCCACCATCCTGGCACTGGAAGTTCCAAATTTTCATGCACATTTTTTGCTTAAAGAATAACTGTATTTGGGGCAGCTAGGTGGTGCAGTGGATAGAGCACCGGCCCTGAAGTCAGGAAGACCTGAGTTCAAACATGGCCTCAGACCAAACACTTGACACTTACTAGCTGTGTGATCTTGAACAAGTCACTTAACCCCAACTGCCTAAAAAAAACAAAACAAAACAAAAAAGCAAAAAAGAATAACTGTATTTTATTCTGTTCTTGAATTAGGCAAAATGTTTCGACAACTCTTATCACTAGAAAATAAATACATTAAATTAATGCTATCTATTGACTTTGGTGTCTTTACTGAAGAAGGCATATGCTTAGGAAAAACAACATGAGAAACTAAGTCACATAAGTTCTTACTGATGACAGCCATAGTAGATAGAAATAGCTTTATTTTTTTCCATTAAGTTTCATCAAGTAGAGTGTTCAAAAAGCATTTACAAAAGCAATAAATTCACAATACGTAGTTCTCATCTTACATTCACTGAAAATGAATATACTCACAGTTACTACAAATTAAAATAGCATTTTTCAATTATTACTATTCCTTTTTCATTTCAAGTTGACAACACTAGTAACTTTTAGTTACCTGGCAATTATAGTCATTTTCCTTATTTATACTAAAATAATTTGCTGCTTAAAAATTAAACCTTAATGTTATTCAGACATTCTGAATAGCTCATTTAAGTCATATATTCTACATTAAACATAATACATGCACTTGGCATTATCAAAATAATTTTTAAAATAGACTAAACAGTGTTGAAGACTTACTTAGATTTATAATAATAATTCCTCACTTAAATAACTGAAACCAAGAAGAATATAGGCATTAGAACTTAACCTCAATGTTTTGGAGCATCAAAAACCCAAATAAACATTTTTTTAAGATAGTATAAAGCTGAGAAAGCAGAAATAAAATGAAAATGAAATGGGAGACATATCCTACAGCTCTGTTCCCATGACATGAAGGCATCAATTTATTCATAATGTGAAAGGGTCACTAATACAGTAGTAGATTCAAATTTTTGAAACTAAATGCTATGACTTTTTTTTTAATGGTTCTTGTGATGCCCTTAAACTAATGAATACCAACATAATAATAACAGGTCAATTTCTAAACAGAATGGCTTGCTAACCCCAAACCTCAGATACCTCTTTTTTGGGTTCCTTTTCCCCAACATAGCCCTTCTAATCTCTGCAAACTTTGGGGTAAAAGAACAAAACTTTTACTTCAAAAAAAATTGTGTTCAGGTTAATCTTAAAGAGAAGACTGTATGAATATAGCCTTTGGATAAGTGAACTCCAAATCCAATTTGTTTTGTAAATTCACTAAAACCATGCTACAGTGCTAGGCTCAGGAATCTATAAAATAGGTCAATGTTAGAAATTATGTGTTCTGCCAATAATGAATCCCCTTACAAAGAATGTTGCCTACACTGGATTTTGCAGTAGAGGGGACTTTTATTGCATGGTGCTAAAAGAGTAACTTTTAGTCTTAGGTTTCATGGTTCTTTCCAAATACTACATGATAAAGTATCATTATAAAGTTATGAGGTGTTTTTTTTCCCTTTAAAGAAACAGGACTTACACATTTGCACAAAAGTTGTCATTCACAGTAGACATCTTGGAAGCTCATTTCAATAATGCTGACACTGCTCAAACTATTTTTGGAACTTATCTTTAGGAACTGCTGTTAAAATTGGTTTATGTCTAAGTCATGCAAGAAATCAGTCTCATTACTTAATAATAGCCACATTTTATTTATGACCAAAAAAAATATTAATACTTACCACCACTGTGGATAATCAAAACAATGTACCACAATCTGTGAAGCAAATTGCCCAAAGAAGAGTCCTCAAATGCTTTTTGCAATGGAAGCATTATTGGAAGAAGTGTATGGCCTCCCAAAGTAGTGACCTTGAAGGGGGCAGCCTTCATTTGGATGCAAAAAAATTGCTCGCATTACTTAATATTATTTGGGTCAAGTGAAAAGTGTTCTTAGTTATGATATCTGAAGATCATGTCTTATACAAAAGTCTAAACCAAATGCACAGTATATTTCTCATATAAGACTTTTGACTGAGTTTCAAACTCCTACTTTTATTCAGAAATGAAGAATGAGCAGAAAGATCGTGTGGGGGCCAGTACACAAGGAGCTATCAGTAAAAATTGGGGCTGGCTGGCTTGCTGAATGGGAAACAGGGGAGGGGACGTGCCCCAGCTTTTGATCAAAAGAATATTCTGCATCGATGGGTGGGTGATCCCATCTTCCTAAATAATATAAGTCATACAAGCAGTTTGGGACAAGAGAAGTCAGAAAAACAATACCAATTTAGACTGTTACAATAGAAAAATAATTATGCATTCTATAAAGTTTCAAATTAATTTTATGATAAGGAAATGGACAGAAGGCATTCAGACTAGAATGAGTACCTTCAGATTCATGTCTCATTAAATATTATTCTTTAGTAAAGCTAGGAATGTAGCAGGATAATACTTAATTTTCATCAATAACCTAAGTCAGGTGTCATATTCTAAGGAGAGAACCAACGTGGAATTTTTGATTCAACTTCTGACTTGTATAGAATTTGGATCATAAGAAATACTAAACAGTTGCCTAAAAACCCATCTTTCAAGGATTTACTGCAATTTCAGCAGATCAAATATTTAAAATAAAAATGTCTAATGTTCCTGTTTTTGTTTTTAAAAGCACTATCCAGCTTCATTACATAAGATTATTCTGTAATGTATAACCCATAGGATTTGGTAACATAGACATATATTCTCCAAAAAGACAAGGATGCTAAAACCTAAATAATGCCATAGTTTCTAAATGTGCCTTTCGGAAATTTTCTTTTACTGAAATTACTGTCTTTTAACTCAGTTCAGGCAAATACCATGCTTTAATTTTGCATTTCAATGTGATTTGAAAAATCAAAGCACATCTATGATTCAAATCACTTAAATGAAACTTAATAATTTTATTTACCATAAAGAATCGAAAGATGACAAATCTAATGTAGCTCGAATTAAAAAAAAAATCCCCAATCTTCCAAAATCTCAAGTATAAGACTAAATATCTAGGCATATTTTTTAAAAATGTCTCTCTATATTACATACTTTACAAACATTTCACTTTAAATATTTTAGGAGAGTCATATAATAATTAAAATAGGATGCTTAATTTTAGATGGTTGCAATATTATCCTGCAGCTCTATTAATATAGAAGTGTGTTAATCATAATAAAATGGAGTGCAATCATGTAGTACCTAAAGTGAGAGTGGAATATTAATTCTTTAATAATTTTTTTTTCAGCTTCTAAACAGTAACATCCTTTCTGAACAGGTCTGTCCGACCAAGTCTGCATACTGTTGAACGATGGCTTCATCACTTGGTCCTTTCTGTCGTTTTTTATATATGTTGTAAGGCATAATTGTTCTCTTGTAAAGTACCCGTAATCGGCCAAGCTCTTTAACTCGTTCTTCATCAACTGCAATCAAATAAAACAATCCAAAATATTGTATATTAAATTACAATTCTTAGTTTTATTTAAACAAAAAACTGAACTGGAATCTCCAAAGAAAAGACAGCTGGAGTCAAAATTAAAGTATCCTGAAATGATTTTATGTTGGCCTTTGGAAGAGCAACATAACGAAATATGTTACAAGGTAAACAATTTAATTCAACAAATATTTACACAAAATAATGCTATAAATGCCTACCAAGTAGTAATTTCCTTCATTACCACATAAATTCAAAGCATCCCTTATTTAGAATGTAAGAAACCTTGAGCATCATCTAGACCCATCCTCTTATTTTACAGATGAGGAAACTGAGGCCCAGAGAGGTTAAGTGACTTGTCCAGTGTGGCACAGGCAGCAAGCAGCAGAACCAAATCACCTTATTCCAAATTTAAGTCACTCGAGGCAAATTTCAACATTTTACTGGACTGTGGAAGATGACACAGTTTGGAATAATTATGGTCCATTTAAAAAGGAAGTTCAAACACCTTACTAAATACTCAGATGGATCTCACAGATTTGGAAGCTCCCTTCATAAATGCATGCTATAACTCCACTCACGCTTGCCCATCCTCTGTGACTCCTGCCCAAATCCCTCCCATAAATTCACCAAAGGGGAACCACTCAACAAGCTGGAGGCCTTCCTCTCTTCCTCTTGACATCATAGGGGTACCAGTACAGCACTCTGCCTCTACACATAAGCAGCTCATTTTCTTTTCATAATCCTTCCGTCTGTGTGAATTTTAAATTCTTTGGAAACTGCTGTATTCTCTGCCATATACTAACACTGACTGAATATGAATGCTGGTATTAAAAAGATTGGCATTTGCTTATATGGGAAGATTGGGGTCATAAAGGGAGTTCTGCAATTTTCTGAAGGCAATCCAGCTTTACTCTCCTCTTGTTCAACTCAAGACATGATTCACTGCCCATCTGTCATTACTGTTGGTCCCAGATATACATACTAATGGATAAGCTCTTAAATGCATGTTGTAATATAGATAAAAGAATTCTATAAATTAGTAACTTTTAAAATCTTCAAGTCTCATTTATGAATCTGACTTAAAACTTCTCTGCACACTACCCTACCATATGAAGCACAAACACCCACAATGAGGTCTTCTGATGACTCATCATTTTTACAGTAGGACAGCCTGCTGAGCTACTGAGCTCTGAGAATGACATCAAGAAGCAAAACAACATTTCATTAGGCACAGGACCTAAAAATAAAGCATTTTCAATGTATATGGATTTATTTTACACATTTTGCCTTAATACATTAGAAAATTCTGTAGAGACTATGAAATTCCCAATAGCACTTCAAGTAAAGTAAGTTGGGAATGATTTTTCATATTAAAGGTCAAATGGTTTCAGATTTAATGCTCCAAATATCTCTTTAGAATAGATAAATGCAATTATGTGGTATGAATTACTGATAGTAAAATATTAATATTAATATCAAATGCCATCCCCCCAACAAGGCTCTGTACTGTATCCAGGGAATGTCTAGTAATTTTAACATTAATTTAAAAGGTAACAGGGAAGGTAATTCTTCTGCTTCAAAAATCAACACATAAAACATTCTAAAGTCAAATATAAATCATCTGGTACATATTTATGCAATTTTATTAGAATTTCTATCATTTCAGGCAGTCAACTCTCTTCATTAACTTCTTATTTTAGTGTAACAGATAATAAAGATCAAGAGTTACTACTGTTTATGTTAACACCATGCGTGAACCTTAGAAATTACAAGTAAGGATTTTATTATGATTATTATGGTCTCGGCTAAAAGTTGCAAAACATGCATAGTATGGTCTTACATTTATGAGTATGAGTGTATATATGTGTGTATATATGTGTGTGTATGTTTATAGATATTTATGCATATGCACATATATCATATTTAATCTTTACGGTGGGGAGGGGAGAAGAAGGGTAAAAAAGAAATCAAAAAGTACATAGCAGAGAAAAAAGAAAACCTATAAGGAAGCAAAGAAAAGCTGGGTAGACTGGAAAACAATGTGTAGTATTTATTACACAGATTTTGTTGAAATGAAAATTTATTGCTTTATATTGAATCCTATCTCTTATGTTCTGCTGTGTACATGGCAAAGTTTTTTTTCTTTTCTTGTTTTGTATTTAAGTTTAAAATGAATTAAAAATTTACCAAATAAATAAAGCTTAGGGACCCCAGACTAAGAATATAATCTCTACACTATATTACCTTGCTTGGTGAGTTCATCAGCTCCCATGGATTTAATCTATGTGGATGATTTGTATAACACTAGTCTCTCTCCTGTTCTCCAGTCCCAGATCACCAATTTCCTTTTTAGATATCTCAAACTAGATGTCTCTTAGGCATCTCAAACTCAAGATGTCTAAAACAGAACTCACTATATTTTCTCCCAAACCTCCCCCTGCTCTTAATTTTCCTATTACTATCAAGACACCACTATTCTCCCAGTTACTTAGGCTCACAACCTTATCATTCTTGACTGCTCATTCTCATTCAATCTGTTGTCAAGTCTTATCATTTCCACCTTCACAACATCTCTCATGCATCCCCCTACCTTCCTTCACATAGTCACAAACCTATTCCAGGCCCTTGTAACTTCTCACCTGGACTACTATAATAGCTTTCTGGTTAATCTCCTTGCCCTCAAGTCTTTTCTCACTCCAATTCAACTGCCAAAGTGACTTTACTAAAGTGTAGTTCTGACCAATGTCACTCCCCCATCAATAAACACCAGTGGCTTCCTACTGTCTCTAAGATCAAATGCAAAATCTTCTGTTCAACACTTAAAGCCCTTCACAACCTGGCCACTTCTTTTCAGTCTTCCTACACTTTACTCTCTTCCATGCAGTCTATGATCTAGTTCTACTACACTACTTGCTGTTCTTCAAAACACGCCATCTCCCAACTCCATGCCTTGAATTGGCTGTTGAACATACCTGGAATGCTCTCAATTCCGCCTCTTGGATTACCTGGCTTCCTTCAAGACTCAGCAAAAATCCCACTTTCTGCAGAAGGCCTTTCCTGGTTCTCCTCAGGAACCAGGCATTGCTAGTACCTTCCATTTATTCTGTATATATGCAGCATACACACACACACACACGCATATACATTATTTGCATGTTGTCTCCCCCATTAGATTGTGAACTCTCTCAGAGGGTGGTGAGAAAGAAGTGGTACATGTATCTCATTTTATGGATGAGGAAACCAAGACCCAGACAATTTTACAGCCAGTATTCAATCTATCTTCCAGATATCTCAACTTACATCTTCTAACAAGTTTCATATCAGGTACCACATTCTCTATGAAACCTTTCCTGTTCCCCTCTGAGTTTGTCTCTTTCCTTAAGTGACTCTGTATTCTATTTATCTCTGTTGACACTGTGCCAGGAAAGTATAAGCTCCTAGATGGAATGAATTGTTTCTTTTTTTTCTTTATTTCCCATGTCTACTACAAGGCCTTAAACTTTTGCAAGGATATAAATGTATTTAGCAATTTTAAAATAAATTTTACGAATTTAATAATTTTAATAAATATGCATACCAGGCACCGGTATTTAAAGGAATTTTAGGGTGAATATTTTACATAGTACTTAAAGGTATGCAAAGCACTTTAGATATACTATCTAATTTGATCTTCTCAACTATCCTATGAGATAGGAACTAGAATTATACCTACTTTACAAATGAGGAAACTGAAATAGAGGTTAAGTGATTGGCCCAAGGTCATATAATTCATAAATGTCTAAGGCAGCATTTGAACTCACTTTTCTGACTCCAAGACTATAAGCCCTATCCACTATACCACCTAGAAGCCTCTACTTTTATAAAGCTATTAATAAGAAAATCATGAAGTTATAGGGCTTTTTAAATGGAAAAATATCCACTGTATCACATGATATATAGCCAGACAGCTAGATACAAAAAATTCCTCCAATTACTATTCTTACATTGTACTAATGTTTTATTTAACAGAATATATAGATGAGTTATGAATTAAATTACAAATTTAATCTCCAACTTCAAGACCTAAGAGAAGCCTAAAAATGGAAAAAGGGAAAAGAAAACTTAAGGAATTCAATGGGGCTAAACTGTTTACATCCCTACATGGGAAGATGATACTTGTACCACCAGAAGGAATATACATAGAGGATACGTGTATATGGTGAATCTGAGGGAATGACATAAAGAATAATTAAGGAATGAGAAAGAGGAGTACACTGGGTGCAAAAGGACGGGAGAAGTAAATGATGTAAAGACAGTAAAGGGAAAGATGGGAGGGTGGGCAATGGGCAACGCTTGAACCTTACTCACATCAGTATTGGCTCAAAGAAGGAATAATACACACAATCAGTTGAATATAGAAATTTATCTTACTGGACAGAAAAGTAGGGAGGAGATTAGTAAAGGTAGGGACCTGACAAAAAAGAGGGCAGACCGGGGGAGATGGTAGACAGAAGCAAAACACTGTTGAAGAGGGAAAGAGTGAAAGGAGAGAGAGGACAAACAGAAGGAAAAATAGGATGGAGGGAAAAACATAGTTAGTAATCACAACTGTGAACATGAATGGGATGAAATCTCCCATTAAAAAGAAATGCAGTGGATCAAAAAACCAGAATCCTACATTATGTTGTTCACAAGAAACACACTTGAAGCAGAGAGACACACACAGAGTGAAGGTAAGGGGCTGAAAGAGAATCTATTATGCTGCAGCTGCAGTAAAAAAAAAAAAAAGCAGGGGTAACAATCCTGATCTTAGGCAAAGCAAAAGCAAAAAGAGACCTAATTAAAAGAGATATGGAAGGAAACTACATCTTGTTAAAAGGTACGGCATACAACGAAGTAACATCAATACTAAACATACATGTACCAACTGGTAAAGCACCCAAATTTTGAAAGAAGAAGTTAAGTGAATTACAGGTTCATGACCAAACAAGAGATAGAGAGCATTAC